TTTGTTGAGCAGGACAGGTGCTGGCACCCCAGACTACTGCACTGTGGGAGCTTTTTCTGTCGGGGGGGGGGTACGGTGTGGGGAGATCAGGGTGCAACTGCAAGGCTGCAAACCACTTAAGAGTCCTCAGAAAGGACTGAGCAGTGACTACCATGGTGTGGGTGACCTGACATTGCTGTGGACGCCTCCTCTCACAACGAAGGACAAGAGGCTGGGGTGTGGGGCCCCCACAGTAGATGCCTGTCCAAGCTTGCCCACTGTGCATTTCACAGGGTTCCCGTGCCTACTTCTGTGGGGTGGGAGCACCCAAGGAAGAGCAGAGCAGTGACTTTGTGGGTATTCACCTCAGTGTACACCAAATATTACAAAACTGAAAAGCAAAGCCAGTACCCTGACTGGGTAGCTCATTTGGTTAGAGTGGGTTCCCAGTATACCAAGGCTATGAGTCCAGTTCTCAGCATGCACACAGAATCAACTGATGAACACATCAGTAAGTGAAACAGCAAATTGATGTTTCTCTCTCTAAAATCAAGTTTCTTAAAGGTTTTGATTACTTTTTAGAGAGGGAGATAAACATCAATTGGTCGCCTCACCTGCGCCCCCTACTGGGGAGCCTGATTGGCAACTCAGCCGTGTGCCCTGAGTGGGAATTGAACCCATGACCCTTTGGTTCGCAGGCCAGCATTCAATCCACTGAGTCACACCAGCCGGGGCTAAATTAACTTTTAAAAGATTTTTAAGCCAGCCAGTCTTAGACCATTCCACACAACAGCACAAAGCACATTCTCCATAGCAGACCATGTATTGGGCTACAAAGCAAGTACCAATAAGTTATATTGAAATCATGCAAAGTACCTTCTCTAAGCACAGGGGAATGAAGCTAGATGACAATAATAGAAGGAAAACAAAAATTCACAAATACATGGAAATTAAGAGCCAAAGGGTCAAAGGAAATCACAGTGATGAGAGACACATTGAGGTGAGGGAAAACACACGAACGCATGAGTTGGGTGGGAGTGGTACTAAAGGGGAATCTGTAGCTGTGAACACCATTAAAAAAGGAAGAGAGGTCCCAAATTAAAAATCTAACTCTTGAAGGAAGTAGAAAAAGCATGCGCTGAATGCAGAGGTAGCAGAAAGGCGGTCATGAGAGACACAGAGGTGAACCAGAGCCCAAAGAAGCAATAGTCAACATAAGCACAAGTGTTTACAACGAGCAAACTTGTAGCTACCCCGAAGAGACACAAATGACTACATTAGCAATGGAAGCAGGCCAGGTAGTACGGGCCCGACAGAAGTAAGGATAAGAGAACACTAGCAACAATTATGTGCTAATAAATCAGGTAACCTAGCTGAACAAATTCCTAGAAACATACAAAATACCCAAACTGACCCAAGAAGAAATAGCAGCTGAACACTCCAGTGAGTGAGATTAAGTCAGTGACCACCCCAAACCCCAGGACCACCAAACAGTTGAAAGGTAGGGGTGGGGACACATCCCAATCCCAGGCAGCCTCTGGCCCTTCTCCCTGCAGGAGGGGCTCCCATCCCCATCCCTTGGCTCTCCCCACTGCAACCCCCTTCGGTGACCACTGAGACAGTCTGTCCTACCTGCCACGGAGTCGGATCAAGGTAGAGTGAGCCTGTGGCCTGATGGGTTTAACGAGTAAAGTCTGACAAGCCGTAAATCAGTAACCTGGGGGCCTTGGTGAGAGCAGAAGTTGGACTGAATGAGGGGTCAGGGCAAGCAGTGTAGACCATTATGAAAAGTGAGCCAAGAGCGGCAATGGGGCACACGTCTGAGGCTGGGCACAGGGAGGGGTGGGGAAGGGGGAACTGCAGGAAGAGGAGATGCTGAGAGGAGGGGAGGGTGGAAGAGTAACACTGAGGCCAGCTACCTGTAAGGGGCCTGGCAAGAAGCTGCAGGAGAGGATGGGTTGGGGGAGGAAGCAGGGTGTGGGCAGGTGCTAGCAGATGTGGGGGCAGTGAGGACTGAAGTGAAGCTGCCTCATACCGTGGACACTCTCCTGGGCTGACTGAGTGTCCAGAGGAGGGGCACCTGCTGAACTGGGCCTGGGCTGTTTCACAGCCTTGGACGACATGCTCCAGAGTCAGGCTCTGGCTGGCTCTCTCATCAGCCACCTGTGGGGTCATAGAATTCATTTGTGCATCCACCCAACTCACTTGTACTGAGTCTAGGTGTTGCAGATGCTGTGACTCTGGGTAACTTCTGGGCCGGAACAACAGGGTTGAGCTTTGCTGAGCTTCTCAACCGGGTTGAGAAGGGGCAGTTGGGGCAGGCACTGAGCAGGCAAAGAGTGAGTCCAGGAAACACAAAGTACAGTGATGGGGAGATTGTGGAAGGAGAAATGTCCACCCAGAGGCTGGAGCCAGCCAGCCGGGGCCAGACTGTGAAGGAGCTGCTTTCGTCCCATGCTGTGGGCCCTGCCCAGGGGTCCTCCGAGAGGGCTGTATAGCATAGGAGTTACAGTGAAATGGTGCTGAGAATGACCACTCTGGGTGGCAAACCAGGAGCCCAGTAACCAGGCTGCAACAGTCCGAGTGAGTGCTGCAGCAGGAGGGACAGAGAGGAGGTGTGGGGGAGAGCTTAGTGTGGAAGTCACCTGAGATTGAAGCCATGGGAGTGGACGAGGTCCCCCATGGCAGGTGTGTGTGAGACAAAACAAGATCAACTGCGCAGCTGTGACACGGGAGAAATCTGGGAAACAATTAAATGGGGAAAGGCCAGAGTTGAAGTGGGAGAGAAGAGTCAAGCCATCAAGGAATCTGTAGAAGCAGAAGGTGGTACACATGCCTGATGGAGGTGAACACTCAACCTGGGAAGGGCCCTGGGTTTGGGGATGGTGATGTCACAGGTTGTCCCAGCAGGGGCAGCTTCCCCCCAGCTGTGAGCAGAAGCAAGATGGCAGAAGTACCAAGCTAGGCCCTAAAGAGACAAGTTCCCCCCTTCCGAAGCAGTGATTGTGTAATTTTGGATAACCTGATTTACTTTCCCTGTTACATTCTCTCCTGTTCAAAGAGAGAGTTTGCGATGTAAGCATTTGTATATAGTATGCTGCATGAACACAGTTCTGATTGCTGGGATGGAACACTTCCTTTGAGCCAGGTCAGGGTGCTGTTGAATTCACTTGCGTTTGCTTTTTTGTCTGAATCATCCCAATAAGGCACAGGCAGCCCCACATTCTGGAAGTTCTGTGTCGATTGCTGTCTTACTCAGTTTGGAAGTCTAGTTCAATACATATTGTCAATGAAGGCTCCGCTCCAACATCCATTCTCCCTTACCAAAGAAAACACTCACGCTTGGTTTCTGAGGGTACACACCATGTGCCTGTGTGGATAGTGATCAGGCCTAGGTCCTGGCTGCGACAGCACTGATGAACAGCAGACAGGACTTGCAGCAGCAATTCCTCAGTGGATTGAATGCCAGCCTGGGAACCTGTGGGTTCAAGTCCCAGTCAGGGCACATGCCTGGGTTGTGGGCCAGGTCCCCAGAACGGGGCGAGCAAGAGGCAACCACACATTGATGTTTCTCTCCCTCCCTTCCCCTCTCTCTAAAGATATAAATAAGTAAAATCTTTAAGAAAGAGACAGTAGTATGAGGAAAGTCAGAGGATGACTCTGTTTGGCACTCTGCATTTGCATTCGTTCATTCACCTCGGGCGGGGCGGCGGGGGGGGGGCGGGGGGAGGCTCCAAATGCTCTCAGGTTCCCAGTGGAAGGGAGAGAAGTTGGAGTTTATGTGTGAGGGCCTCGGCTCTTTTTGGTGTCAGGTGAGGGCGAGTAGCTTCCTCAAGGTCACAAAGCACCAGGTGATGTGGAGTGAGGGAGGAAAAAAAAAGCCGTTTCCAGGGCTGGCTTTGCTAACACTCTGAGCAAGCCGAGAAACACCCAGGACCCGTAACGCCCGCGTCTGTGATGGGGATCGTGGAGGTCGGTGAGAAAACCACACCGCGTTCACCGTAGAGTCAGACTCCTGGTGAACGACCCGGAACGTGCCGGGCGCTGGGCTTCTCCTCCATCCCGGAGTTTCATTTGCTTTGCTTCTCACACCCTGCCCTGGTTTTATAGATGAAGAAACTGAGTTTGAGATACTCATTAACACTGTGAGTACTGTGGCTACGTGGCAGGGGTGGGCATACGTGTAATTTATCGCCATTTCAAGGCTTTCTGAACAAAACGCTAGGGTCGCATAAGTGCATTTGGTAATAAAGTGTTACTGTCTTTGCCTGCGGAAATCAACTTTAAAATTGTTGCTTTGTCTTTCACCAGAGCGGGGGCCCGACAGAGCACAGATCTGCTTTTGTAGGTGGGGGTGGCGCCGAGATTGCAAAGTGGGGAAGGTGCAGCGTCCTTAAAGGTGGGGCTGCTAGGCTCCGCCGCAGTGTCTTTCCCCCGGGGGAGATGCAGTCAGAGAGTGTAAGGTATTTTCGGAAAGTAGGGCATTTTGGAAGCATTTCGTCACCGAGCAGTCTGGGTGGCTGCGCTTCCTCCCCAGTTCGTGGAGATGGCAGTGCCTGAGGCCACCTGGGCCCTGAGCCTCCCGGTGGAGCCGGGGACCCCGAGCGACCTTGGCGCGTCTCCCGACCTTGAGACCTGCGTTCGCCTCAGTTGCCCCCTCAGCGCAGTGGGAAGGACGCTCAGGCGAAGGGTGGCCTCCCGACCCCCGCGCCCCATGCGGCTGCGGCCACTCACTCGGGCCGCCCCGGGCACCCACCCGCAACACCATCCAGAGGACGCACCCCCCAACCCCCTCACTCCACCCAATGCCGCAGAAACCCGACTGAACCCGCGGGCGGGAACCTGCTGGAGAACCCCAGCGCGCACGCGCGCCTGCAGTCCCACCCCCGCCCCAGCGCCGTCTCAGCGCAAAGGCCAGACACATCGTCACTCCCGACTGACTGCGGTCGCGATTGGCTAGGGCGGCGGCGCGCGACCGACCCTGGGCGGGGCCCTGCCCGACTATAAGAGGGACGGGCGCCACGACTCGTGCCGCCTTGCAGACGCCGCCGCCGCTTCGGACCTTACCACGTCCAGCCATGGTCAATCCTACTGTGTTCTTCGACATTGCTGCCGACGGCGAGCCTTTGGGCCGCGTCTCCTTCGAGGTGGGGCGGGCGGCGGCGGCGGCGCTCCGGGTGGGCCTGGGCGGGGGTGGGGTGAGGTGGGGGCGGCGGCCGAGGGGGCCCGGGCGGGCTCCCTCCGGAGGAGCGCGGCGCCATTTCCTGATGAGGGGCCATTTTGGGAGGCCGGGGGCGGCGGGCAGACAAAGGCAGCGGGGGAGGGGCGGCCTCGCCCTTCCGGCCGCGCACGTGCTCGGACCGCGAGCCGTGGGCCGCCGCGCAGACCGTGGGCCTTGCGGGTTGGCAACGCCCCAAACGGACGGAGGGCACGGGCGTCGCCCTGAGCAATCGGACCGTTGTTTGGCTCCTCACGGCCGCTGCACCTGAGGGCTCCAATTCTGCGCCGGCCTGGGCTCGCCCAGATTCCGGGGACCGGACCCCGCGTGACTCGGCGTCCACGGTGGTTGGGGAGGTGCGGTGGAATCGACACGAGCCCGGCGGAAGCGAGGTGGCGCTGCGGCCCGCCTCCCCCGCGGTGACGACGCCCGTGGGAGGGCCAGGGCCCCTGGGGTCGGGGCTGCGCTCCTCGGTTGGGGCGGGAGTGAGCCCGGAGGACGGGCGGCCCATGTGGCCCCGGCCACGTTCCCGGGCGTGGTTTGATTTTCGGTCGTTTCTTAGCAAGACGCCGGCGCTCGGGGTGGGGCCTCGTCCGGGAGTCGGTTCTCCTCGTGCAGTCGAGGGCGGAGGCTCCTGCCCATGGCCCCTGGGCCCTATCCGGCAGGCGTCAGTCGCAGTCGGTCAGCCTGCCCTGCTGTGAGCCGCTCGTAACTGTCAGGGGCCCACGTGGAAACTTGGCCGGAGCTGAGCGAGTAACGTGTTAGTGTCGGGTTAGCTCCAGGGCTTAGTGGAAAGGCGATAGGACCTCCCGCGGGTCCCTGGGTGAGAATGAAGGTGGAGCTGCCAGGAAAGGCCTGAACCGGAGTTAGGGCCTAATGGGGAAGTGGTAGGGACTTAGGTGAGGAGCTCAGGGCCAGGAGAAAAGGCGCTGCTTAGAGACCGGATGTTGTAGGTGCAGGGACTTAGAGCTAAAAAGCCGCGCCCTCCTAGGTGAAACATCCAGGGACCTGCGTATTTAGTCACAGATCGGTGTAAGAGTTGTGGAAGGGCTTGTAAGTGTTTTCTATGGCATTTAATCGTCTTTAGCCAAGATGCTGTGTGCTCGCAGGAAAGGTTCAAAGCAGGTGAATTAGGAACCAATCTTGATTTTTGTACCCCCCCCCCCAGGTGAGGGACTTGGAAACCCCAAGACGAGGCTGCTTATCTAATCCCTTAGAGCTATGTTAACAGATTGGAGGTGGTAGCATTTTCATTGCCAGTGACTAAAATTAGAGCAGTCGCTGGAATCTTGCAGCAGTAGTTGCTGTTCCTGAAAATCTGTCCCTTGGTTCCAGCTGAGGTGGGGGCAGGTGGTGATACTTGAGAAGCCATGTATCTGTTGAGGAGTAAGTGTCACCATACTCAGAAGTTCTAAGTCACTTTCTAGAAGCCTCACACTATGTAAGTCGTTGTGGGTTCTGGATTTTTCGCATGTCTTTGGGTCTTACGGCTCCCACCTCACCCCCACAGGACATTAAGGCTGTCTGGAACACTTATTTGGGATTCAGGGCAATTACTGAAGAATTCTTTTGTAGGGAGAAAATGAATTTGACTCAAAAGCCCCTGAAGACATGGGTAGTTAGCAATAAAATATGTAAGCAGGTGTTGTTTTTCTCTTACAGCTGTTTGCAGACAAAGTTCCAAAGACAGCAGGTTAGTTCCTATTTAAGTTTAATAAGGTGATCCAATTTTAATTGTGTGTGGTGTGTACATACATTCTTCTCTTTTTCTCTTTTGATAGAAAACTTTCGTGCTCTGAGCACTGGGGAGAAAGGATTTGGTTATAAAGGCTCCTGCTTTCACAGAATTATTCCGGGATTTATGTGCCAGGTATGAAATGTGTGCTGATCTTCACTTGGGTTGTTACCTTATTTTGGGAGTGGATGGGATTGGTACACATGACCTTTTATTTTACCACTTTGGCTTCACTTAAACCTTCTGGTCAGTTTAAACTTGAGTTTTGAAGTTTGAACCTTGCATGCTTGGCATGCTTTCTGATTATGTTGCAAAGGTGATAGGTTTCTGTTACATTCACAGGGTGGTGACTTCACACGCCACAACGGCACAGGCGGCAAGTCCATCTACGGGGAGAAATTTGATGATGAGAATTTTGTCCTGAAGCACACAGGTCCTGGCATCTTGTCCATGGCAAATGCTGGACCCAACACAAATGGTTCCCAGTTTTTCATCTGCACTGCCAAGACCGAGTGGTGAGTGGTAAGGGCAGAATCAGGAAGGGGCAACCAAGGAACAAGTAGTGTTTTATCTCAAATGCACGTGATCTCTTTGCCCATATATGTATATTGATTTTAGAGAAAGAAACATTGATTTGTTGTTTATTCATTCATTGGTTGATTCTTGAATGTGCCCTGACCAGGGATCATGTCAGGACAACATTCTAACCAACTGAGCTCCCTTGCCGAGGCTGTAGAGTCTTATGCCACCTTTTTGGGTCAGTCTTTATGTTGCCTTTTCCTTTAGGTAGAAGGATAAAATAGCATTTCCAGTATTTAATGAGTCAATATTAGCTAATGTTAAAGGCTGGATAAGCCACCCTTCTTGTGCTCTTGTAAGTGTGCTGCATTGGTTTGTGGGGCACTCCTCTCATCTTAATGCACAGTGCAGGGTGCCTGTTACCTCTGGTCACTGGTGGTAGTGATTGCTCTCTTCCAGGCTGGATGGCAAGCATGTGGTCTTCGGTCAGGTGAAAGATGGCATGGATGTTGTGACAGCCATGGAGCGCTATGGGTCCAGGAATGGCAAGACCAGCAAGAAGATCACCATTACTGACTGTGGACAGCTCTAATAACATTTGACTTACGTTTTATCTTAACCAACAGACCATTCCTTCTGTAGCTCAGGAGAGCACCCCTTCACCCCCATCTGCTTGGAATGTTCTATAATCTTCGTGCTCTCGCCGCAGTTCAATGGGTTCCATGTTTTCCCTTCCCCTTCCAAGTCTAGCTGGTTTGCAGAGTTAAGTTTATGATTATGAAATAAAAACTAAACAACAGTTGTCTGTCCTTGTTTGGGTGAGGGTTTTGCCTAAAGCAGCAACAGGTTACTTTTAAGGCAACCATGCTCTTCATTTAATTCCAGACTACAATTTTTGCTTCCCTAACCTAAGTGTCATGGAGTACCCACCAAGTAAGCTGGGGCTACAAGCAGGGTAGGAAAGGAGCTGGGAGCTGCGCCACTAGAAGTTCCTGCTTGGCACATTGAGAAAGCAACCATCAAAGTTAGTGTGGCAACGAATTGAGAAGGCACATTTGAACAGCCTACCGTGGTGCCCCTTGAGGGGTGTCTGTGGGGCTGCCTTGGCAGAACCATTGGAACTGTTGACTTTGAGGAGGTGGATGAAGCATGGGAGGTTTATCATAAAATATAGATTGTCTGAAATGGACAAAACAGTCTGATGGTAGAAAGTCAGGTACATGGTTCTCTGGCATCTGCCCCTGAAGTCCCTCTAATGCAGTCTTGACCAGCCCTAGCTGTGGGATCTAGTTGAGGCGAGGCCCTTCCTCAGGAACTAGGTTTCCTTGAAAGTGAAGTGCAAGTGTTGTGTCAGGAGTGACTTGTTCATAGGTGGAAGGGAATCCCATGCAGGTGTGAGGCAAGAACACCCCACTGTTAGCATTTACCTCTCCACCTCCACAGCTGACTATAGTTTCCTGGCTTGGTTGTCCCATCTGCTACTCAAGATTAAAGGATGATGCACTCACCCAGTTAGTGCCCTGAACTGTGGCTGCTTGGCTGGTTCCTTTGGTACTTTTGTTTCTGTGGTGCAGCAGTCCCTCAACCTTTTTGGCACCAGGAACTGGTTTTGTGGAAGATACTGTCTATAGGCTGGGGGCAGTGGCTGGGTTGGTGGGATGATCCAAGTAGTTTGCATTCAAGCTCACTGGTGTGGCCTGGTCCTTAAGAGGTCTGTGCTGCTGCAGGTCCCAGACCAGGAGTTGGGGACTCCTGTAGTAAACCACTCATCCCATGTGTGACCACACACCAAGTCATTGATCACATTTGTCTAATCACTATCAGTTGGATAGCATGGCAGAGTGGTGGACATTAGAAAAAGTGGAAAACCAAAGAAGGGAGATTCCTGCCTTGCAGAACTTCAGGAGGTGCAGAGCAGACTCCTAGAGTTCGTAACAATAACAATTGTTTCATACGGTGTAGTAAGGTGGCATAGTTGCGAACGTCCCAAGCAATTTAACCAGAGGTAATCAGGTGAAGAGAAGAAGGTTCAGGCAAGACCTGTTCACCCTCCATTTCTGCTGGTTCTAGGCTCATGGATACCCCAGGAAGTGTCCTGGGCTGAGCGGTGGTTTGCCTATCTTAAAACCAATCTTTTTACGCTTTTTACACAGGCTGTGCTCTGCTCCATGGGGGGGTGAGAGTTCAGTGATCACTCTTGCAAGTGCTTGGGGCATGGTGTGTTGCCAGTGTGAGTGTGGACCCCTGGGGTTTTGTCCAGCGAGGTTAGTGAGTCCCAGAGCCGTGTCCCCAGAGGAGGCTCACAAATATTGGCATGAAAACTGAAATCTGAACATAGATGCTGGTTGTTTTTTCCAGGATTAGGAACTTAATGTTTTATTGCAAAGCATACATACAGAAGCATAGTCTATGGGCATCTATTGCTGTCTCAAATTGTCCCAAAGCTTAGTGACTGAGCAGTAGTATCAGTGTCTGTGGGTCAGGACTCAGTATGGTTTGACTGGGTCCTTTGCAGTCAAGGTGTTGGCCAGGGTGTTAATCACGGCCCCATGGGGAAGGACCTGCTTTGTAGCACGTAGCACTCATGTACATGGGCGTCACACAGCAGGGTTGTTCTTGCCACAAGGTCTCATCAACTGTCAGCTTGCTTTATCAAAGTATGCAGTCCTGAAGGCAGTAGGGCCCAGCAAGGTGGCAGTCCTTGTCTCCCAGCCTGTCGCAGAAATGACATCCCATACGGTGTTCTACAAGCCAGTCACCAGGTTCAGCCCACACTCAAGGGCATGTACACCAGAAGGTGGGGAGCAGTAGGGGCCATCCTTAGAAGTTGCCTCCTACAAGTAGGTGTAGAGACCAGAAATGAAACCACCAGCATATCTAATTTCCCAGTCACCCCAAAGCCCCTTGGGGGTCACTCCGCCCCCACTGTTGCATATGTCCCCTCACCAGAGGTGGTGTTCTTCGATCTGATGCACATAATGTATATTTCTGTGTTCTTCGATCTTATGCACATAATGTGTACCCCTGAAACATTGTGTTTAGTTTGGAAACTGAGAAGCAAGCTCAAATCTGTGCAAAGAAAGGGGAGATTGTCACTATGTGCTGACAGAACCAGGAGAAGGCAAGATGAGCAGTGTGGATCCTGGTGTGACCTCAGCAGCTCAGGAGCACAGGGGAGCCAGCCAGGGGAGCTTCCTAGAAGGTGAGCTCTCCGAGTGCCTTCATCACGACTCAGAAAATAAGCAGAATCCATAACTAGAGTATCTGGTCCATGTTTCAGAGTTCCCCCAGGGGACCTAGGTGTTTTTAAAATTAGCTTTATTTTACTTTTAAAAGATTTTGTTTAGTTATAGAAAGAGGGAAGGGAGGGAGAAATAGAGGGAGAGAAACATCAACATGCAAGTGATACATGATCTGTGGCCTCTTGTGGGCCCTCAATCCAGGACCTGGCCTGCAACCCAGGCATATCCTGATTTGGAATTAAACTGGGGAATTTTTGGTTCACAAATCAGCACTCAATCACTGAGCCACACCAGCCAGGGCAAAATTAGTTTTATTAAGGTATAATTTACATGTAGTTAGAAGGTCTTTTACAATACCCTTCCTTCTCCCCTTCCCACACCCCCAGGATCCAACCCAGGTTCACACATTGCATTTGATTATGAGGTTTCTTTAGTCTCTTTCAATCTAGAACAACATTTTATTTTTACATACTGTAATTTCTCTTTGTTAAAAACTTTATGGAGATCATAATTTATACACTATAAAATTCATCGTTTTTAAAAGTACAGCCCCAGCCAGGTAGCTCAGTTGATTGGAGCATCAGTCTGATGAGCCAAGGTTGCAGGTTTCATCCCTGCTCAGGACACATACAGCAGTCAAAGCAGTCAACCGGTGAATGCATGGACAGGTGTGAAGAAAAACAATTCAATCTCTCTCTCCCTCCTCCTGTCTAAAATCAATTAAATAAATAAATACACACACACACACACACACACACACACACACACACACACACACACAGAGTATAGTGACCAAAAATAGCAAGATAAGAGAAAAAAACAAGAAAAAGAAAGAAACATACATAAAACAAAAAGGATAGTGTCCAAAAATTCCTAACTTTATTTCTGCTGCAGGTAAGAAAGCCACATTGCTTCCACAACATTCCAATGCCATGAGCCACTCTGAAAGTGGATGCCCTATCAATATACACGTTGGCAGTTTTGCCTCAGGCTAGGGTGCAAGCCTGCATGAGCTCCTTGGGCTCCGTGATCTGAAAGGGTGTGGATACTGCACACGCGGCACAGTATTTTCTGCAGTTGTCACCTCTTAAGTAAGATCAAAGAACAAGCCATGAGAAGTCAGTGTCACCCAGGAGCCTCCTGCAGATTGTCATCAGTGGTCAGGAGGTGACGCTTAGTTAAGCAGCTGTGAGGAGCTTTGTTGAGATAGGGGGAAGAGTACCTGGAATAAAGGATTTTACTTGAAAGTGGCAAGTGTCCTGTGAGGAGCGGTAATGAGGATTTCATGGGAGGGGGCTAACTGAAGTGTGGAATGGGGAGGGAATTCAGAAGGGCTTATACTGCATGGGGCTCAAAGGTGGGGAAAAGGGGGCCCCACAGTGATCTCCTTGGTGCCTAAACCAAAAAGGCAGTGGCAGTCCTAGTCAGCAGGGGTCCCAACTTTCTGGGTGAGTACACCCTTTTTCTTTGGCAATCTTTTTAAAGCTTTTATTTTTCAAATATTTATTTAATTGATTTATTTTTAGAGAGAGGGGAATAGGGGGAGAAAGAGAGGGAAAGAAACATCAATGTGCAGTTGCGTTTCAAGCACCCCCTACTGGGGACCTGCCCTGCAACCTAGGCACATGCCCTGACTGGGAACTGAACCAACCACCCTTCACTCTACGGGCCAGTGCTCAGTCCACTGAGCCACACCAGCCAGGGCTGCTCTGACAATCTTGACTCCAGGTTGCCACAGACCTTCCCTTTGTGCAGCACTCAGCTCCCTGTCCCTGACTGGTGTAGCTCGGTTGGTTGGGTGTCATCCCACAAAGCATAAGGTTGCAGGTTTGATTCCCAGTCAGGGCACAGGCCTGGATTGTGGGTTTTGTCCTCAGCTTCACATCCGAATGTGAAAGACAACCAATAGATGTTTCTTTCCCTCTCTTTCTCCCTCCCTTTACCTCTCTGTATGAATTTTTTAAAAGATTTTATTTATTCATTTTTTTAGAAAGGTGAAGGGAGGGAGAGAGGGAGAGAAACATCAATGCGTGGCTGCCTCCTGTGCACCCCTCAGTGGGGACCCAGCCCGCAACCCAGGCATGTGCCCTAGATTTGCAGGCCGGCGGTCAACCACTAAGTCACAGCAGCCAGGGCTCTCTAAGAATATTGAACAACAACAACACTCAGTGCCCAGTGCCTGGGAAGTGCAGTGCAGTGAAGAGTTCTGTCTGTCTGTCCCCTTCCCCTTACATCTAGTAAGCCAGGTAGCACCATTTGAGAGCTAATTGTTTCCAGGTGGAATCTCTCTCTCTCTCTCTCTCTCTCTCTCTCTTTCTCTCTTTGATTTTAGACAGAGAAACATTGATTTACTGTTCCCCTTACTCTGATGCATTCGTTGGTTGATTCTCCTGTGTGTGCCAACCAGAGATCAGACCGCAACTCTGGCACATCAGGGCAGCTCTTTAACTGAGGCCACCCGGCCAGGGCTTTTTCTCCCCCTATTAATGAGTTCATTTATTGATAAAGTAGTTATACAGGAGTGGGCAAAAGTAGGTTTACAGTCATTTGTATGGAA